CTTACGAATCCTTCCAATCACAACCCGACACGTATCAAGTTTACGGACTACGGCTGTTTGAAAGATTTTCTTCCATAAAATTAATCGATTCTAGACTAATCCGACTCAACATTTCCAAAACACGTATATATTTTTTGGAAATAATCCGTATAAACTACGCTATAAATAAAAAATTGTAGGATTACTTACCGAGTGTCACCATTCGATATCGCCATTGCTCAACATTGTTTTCGTCGCGGAACAGCTCACCAAACCGCGGCCGATTTCTAATAACTTATTTTTCTGCTAATAGTTCCTTGAACTTCGGAGACATCATTAATATAAATAATTTTAATCGTAATTATAAGGACCGTAATTATAGGGGGGTCGACTGTATATATTAGAATTAAGATGCAGTACTCGATAACCATGAGTACCAGAGCATTCAATTTACGGAATTTATTGCCCTACTAGATAATGTAATTTCATTTGGACTAATTAACTATCATCAGGACGCAAGACTGTTCGAGCCTGTTTTTGGACAAAGCTGCATTTTATATGCTATATAAGTATAGAATACGGTATTTCTATAGACAGTATGAAATAGGGACACTTTAATTAAATATTTTGTGCTATAAATTCTGTCTTCATTGTCATTTTGAACAGGAATACACAGAAAAAATTCGATTAAAATTGTAACTAATTACATAAACAATTTGCTAATTAGAATCATTACAGTCTTGAATTCCTTTATTGAAAAAGTACAATACTTTGAATATGACCTGATAATATATCAGGTATCCCTATTTGTTTTCCTCTATAACCATTTTTGACGAAAATTTTTTCTGTTGCGTATTCTTGAAAACATCGCAGTATTAAAAAATGCTGTAAATAATCAAGAATTAATCTGTACATAACTTGATATATGAATATCAAAAGTTGTTTAAAAAGTTTGATGGTGTTTCAGGTGATCAGTGTTTCTTCATTGAAGATTTAATTTATAATTAGTTAAATTATTTAAAATTGAGGGCGAAATATAAGTAGAGTCTAACTCAGCCGATAATTTTATTTCATCAAATAAAAAAAAATTTAGCAACGAGTTGCGTAACTTTCCCTGCAGTTATGAGATTTTATTTGTAAAATCACTTTTTAATTATTAATCATAATAACGTGACATGAAGCGAAGTGACAATTATGTTGGAAAGATCGGAAAACTGATAGTAAAAGGAAAGAGGAAAACCAAAGATGCGTTGAAAAATAAGGTGGAAGAAGACTTTAATTTGAGGGGACATAAGAGAGAAGCCCTTGATAGGGAGAAATGAAAAAACGTATTACAGAAGGAAACGCCGACCCTCATATAAATTATATGTGGCATCATCTATTATGAGATTTTGTTATAAAAACTTTGCTATTTTATAATAATTAAAAATATATATAATACTTAATTTTGAGGGTAGAGATGAGTTTTACAAAGATCTGTAAATGCTAACAAGTAAAATCTTCATTAAGCCCAACCCCATAAGAGATATGACACGTGATTACCTCCCCTCAATCTTAATCACCAAAATTTAATAACATCAATGCCCCTTATACACAAACTACCCTGCCAAATTTTGTTTCTTAATCTTCACCCCATCCGGAGATATTAAACGAAATACACACACACACACACAGATATCCACGAAATCTTTTCGCCGTTTTTGGGTTCAGAAAATCTCAAAACTTGAAGATTTGCAAAAAATCCCGGAGGCAGTGGCGGTCCGCCCGGCGGCACTTTTTACGGGGCGGCAAAATTTCACAATAAATAATAATATCTTGTAAAAATTTGAAACATCCTAATCTATACTTGCATCGCGCTTACGATAGTGCTATCGTCCGGACAGTCCGGGAATCGGTTCGCCGTCCGGATGAACTAGTAATCTTTTTATCTGAGGAAATCCTGCGAAACCTGTTGACTTTTTTTTTTTGCTTGTACGATTCATTCGCGTTCATATACACCACTAATATCCAATAGAACTATTTTAAACAGGTGGCTGCACTACCACCGAATCTTTCACTGCTTGTTCTGTGACAAAACTGAATTTTGGTCTTTTAAATTGAAATACCTAAATAAAAGGGGGGCGAAATTTTCCTCCGCCCCGGGCGGCTGACACCCACGGTATGCCACTGCAGTGGATAATCTATTCATTTCTATACGTAAATTGAACAATTTTCCTCCATTAATTTATTCTAATTTCGATAGTATTTGATGGATGATGAATATTCCTGTGCTAATAATATTCCTTTTATAATTTATTTTGTATACTAGTACATTTTATATATTAACAGGACTTATTATACTGTTAAAATGGATGCAGATATTTAGTCTCACAGTTTAAAAATAATGTTCTTTATTAAGTTCACCTGCATGTCGTCGTAAATTTTTGCTGATACTTACTGGTAAACTCAATGTTGGTAATTTTATGGTCTCTATTTTACATTTCTGTAAATACCATATTTCTGTTTTTAAAAACAGAAATATGGTATATATGGTCAAATATGGTCATTGTGCATGCAATAAACTTCAAGAGGAAGGCCAAAAACTTCACAGGGATAAATATTAGAAGCAAATGTAAAGGAATCAAGTGGGATCTGAGCAAAAATAAAAGATGACAAGTCAAAAAGTGAAATCTTGCAATATTGGAAAAACTAAGAAATAGCAATATTTCATAAATATAATATGAAATAGCAAAATGGTTAGGTCAAAACAGAATATAAATTAAAAACTAAAATCTATAATTTATATCAGTGCATTTGGAAGGATAAGCTATAATTTCATTTTAAAATATCTTAACTTAGTATATGTAAACAGCAAAAATCAAAATTATAATTACTTTATTAACAGCATTAATTAATTCATTCTATAACATTAATATAAAATTCTAATAAAAAAAACAAACTTTTAAAATTTCTTGAATAGAATTTAAAAATTCAAATAAAATTTTCAATACAATTCTTATTGTTTGTTTATATAAATATACTATTACAAAGGACAGACAAGGAGAAAATAAAATGAAATTAGGATAGTGATAAATTTATAAAAATGTACATTGTTAGTACTCTGTACAATGTTGCAATTAGATTGCCTGAATTAAATATTTATTTTAAATTATATTAAAGGGCATGTGCAATAGGATGATTCAAGAAACTATTTCTAGGAAACAAAATTACTTTTAATAGAAATGATATAACAACTTAGCTATGGTAGTAGTAAACATTGGAAATACTAAAGTAATATCTAATATGGTACAGCACATTCATGTGGAATTCAATAAAATATTTAATTATCTCTGTATTTTTCAATTCTTATATACATATTATATTTTCAAATAATACAAAAAATGAAGCCAGAATTTAGTAATCTTTCAATTGTTGACAGTTTATAGCCTATATATTTGATAGAAATCAGATAATCAATAGTTAATAATGTTGGAATATGATTAATATAACTAATGCTCATATGTTATGCCATATTTCATTTCATAAAGTTTGATTTCATTATCTTAGATAATTTGCATCTAAAACAAATTTTATATTGATTGTAATATTTACTTAATGTAACTAAACTGATATACATTTCCATGTCAAACCTCAAACATCTTATGCTTAACTTTTAAAAAGGGTTACTTGTATATTGTAAACTTGCCAAAACTAAATGTGAAGTTTGGTGCCCATAACCTCATGTTTATTACTCCTACAAGAAACACTTAAACCTTGACTATTTACTACTTTTGCAACTATTTAAAAAAGGCTCATTTATAAAAAATAAATAATTTTATTGAAGACAAAATTTGATTCTTAGCTATGTCTTCAGAACTGTCAGATAATCTCAAGTACAGCTCAAATATAAATGTACCCCAATGTCTCAAATAGAACTTTTTGCCCCTTGGACTGTAAACAAACATGTATAGACACAAACTGTTGCCTTTATTTTCAGTAACTAATTTATGTAATTTGACACTGAAAATTGCCTTTTACTATGACAGGAATTTTCAATTAATACAACAGTTAATTTTAAAAAATATATGAAGCATACAACTTTGTAGCATTTAATTCATGTAATATACATGATTAAACAACAATTATCTAATTAGAAAATTCTTGGGAATTTTGTAATACCATGTCTGAAGGTATAGGAATGTTACTGGTAATTCAACGATCCAAAACTATGGTTTAAGTTTATTTTGGTTGATTACACCATAGTTTTGGATTGTTAAATTACCGGTAGCATTTCTATACACCTGCAGACACAGGTTTATGGAATTCCCAAGAATTTTCTAATTGGAATATAGCTGGTAACCCTACAAGAAACAAAACAATTAACTAGTTAAAACAGCATTCATTTTTATCTAGTTAATATAACTGTTTTGAAATTAAAAAAAAATACATGTCCATGTTTATTTGACACATCAGTTATAAATGATAGAAATAGACCTATCATTATGAATCTATTAACTATCAATGTGAACTAATTTTATGAATTTTAACTCTATTCAAATTTTACAAATATCATTTATTTATAACTTTCTTTTAATATAATTTATCTATACAAAATGAATTCCATTTTTATTGAAAGAATGAAGTAAAGATATGAACTCTTCAATACCCATTGTTCTAGCTCGAAGCTGTTCAAATTCTTTAAGGGACTCTTCTATTACAGATTTTATATCATTCGCTTTTATATTATTTAAAGAACAGTGCACTTTATAATTTTTTTCAAGCACTTCAACAACCGACGACTGTTTGAAAGCAGCCGAGAGCGTTTTGTTTTTTCTATTAAAACAAATCCGCAACAAACTATCCCATTCTTTGAAATTAATTGGTGGCGGTGGATTTTTAGGCTCAATTCTCACGACACTCGATTCAACTTTGGGAGGTGGTTTAAAATTATTTTTTCCTACTTTCATCAAATGATCAACTCTCGCCAATAACTGAGTATTGACAGAAAGGCGACAGTATAGCTTATCTCCTGGCTGAGCAACTAGACGCTGAGCAAATTCCCTCTGAAACATAAGCACTGCACAGCGAAAAAAGGGGCGATGTAGCAGAAGTTTAAACACAAATGGAGAAGATATTTGATATGGAAGATTAGCAACACATACATCAAAATAAGGCAATTCTGTCTTTAAAACATCTCCCACAATTATTTTCAACTTATTCTGAAGATGGGTGCCTTGTACCCTTTTTTGTAATTCGGCTACTAATCTCGTATCTACTTCACAAGCGACCACGTGTTTCACCTTCTCCAGCAGCTTGACGGTCATGTTGCCAGTTCCTGGTCCGACTTCCAATACGACATCAGTAGGTCGAAGGGCGGATTTATCAATCATACTATTTATGATTAATGGATTTTTCAGGATATGCTGTCCGACGCTAGTTTTGAAATAAATACCTTGTTTCTGAATTACTTCATGCTGTCTTGACTTTTTCTCAGCCTTAACTTTCCCCATTTTGAATTATTAAAAGCGCCACCTCTCTATTGTGTATTAAAGAAAACAAAATAATAGCCAAATTGTAGCCAAAACTTTTACAATCACATAATATACGAATCGTATGTTTATCGTCACCAAAACGTAATATTATAAAAAATAAATATGATAAAATTTTGTACGTTTCTTGTTAAGTTAAAACAGTAAATTCAATAGAGATCATAACACTGAAAATTATAAATTATCTTAAAAATCGTAAAAGAAGAAAATATTTTTAGTCACATCTGAATGGAAAAAATTTTTTTTTTACAATCGACCATCATCGATACTTGGATGGTGACAGTACAATGAAAACCTACCGCTATGAAGGACCCGGGATCGAAACCGGACGGGTCGAAAAATCTCAGGACGTTTTCGGGGTGATCCATTCGGATATATCTTAAGTCGGACCCCATCCTCACCAACATTCTCTATAAGAAAGCTTCCCAATTCGAGAATGTTCTCATACCTAAAGGGAAAATTGTAAAATATAAACTTCCGTGAATAAACTATACATTTTTATCTTTTGCAGCCACCTTTTTCGTATTATAATTTATTTATTTCACTAATATTGAAAGTACATTATTCTAGTCACCACTAATATTTATCTAAAAGTAAATTTCCTTATACTGTGATTCACGTCATTAGCAATTGTAAAATATGAATTATGAGAATTCTGTTAAAACTTAAACAATAGGAAATAAATAAAAATACTAGGTGAACTCCGACTCTAGCTTAACTCAGATAATGATATTATTTTTAATCATACATATTGTATTATTATAATTTAATTATTAATTACAATCATGTTGTGGTTAATTATTTAGAGAGAAAATGTAGATATTAATTATATTCTTGAAAAATAGATAAATAGGCCACTTGGTGGCTTTAGTTAAATTATGCGCATTTTTTGTATCACGTGATGGAGTTGGTGATGCAGGAAGACGTGTTTGTTTATCTATTTCTTATGAAAACTTGCAGGAGTAAATGGTTTTAATGTAGTTTTCAGGTTGCTTAAGGATGAGAACATGGAATATATTATATTGTTTGATTTTCGGGATCGTGTTTTTGTCCAAAACAGATAATGGTGATTGTCGTAGAGGTAACTTAATTATAAATTAAATATTTATGTTATGTTCGTTTTTATATTTTATAAGGATTTTTTAAAACATTATAAACCTGTAATTGCAAACGTTTATGATGCAATGTAATAGTTATGTCAAATTTGAAGTTTTGCTAGAGTTGTGAACCATCTGTATCTGCAAAAAAAAAGGCGCATGAAGAATCATAATTTAGGAATGATCCTTTATGAAATATGGCCCTAAAATGTACTCCATGTGGGTACTAAGAGGGTGTTTTTGTCAAGCCTGTTGTGAGTTCGTCCAGTCTCATAATAAGGTAGATGGGTGGTGGAAACATTCCCCCACCCATCTACCTTATTATTCCCAAAAAATTCTTATGAGGTTATGGTCTATTTGGTATACCTGGGTCCCCGGAGTGGTAGACTGATTCCCTAGCCACTCGTCTTTCCAGCCTCACTTCTGAATATTGAATGATATGCAAAAATTAATGTATGTTTAAAGCAAAAATGATATATAACAATACATGTAAAAACTGGAACAGTACACAAAAATGAAACTGACACCTATATGTGATTTCCAGCAAATAACTGTACCGTTCTAATGTTTCCAGCCACTGTTTAGAAGCCCTCGTTGGGAAATAAAACAAAAAAAAAAGTTCTATCATTTGACAGAGAATATGATAGAGAGCAAAAAATGATCACGAAATAGATAGTATTTTTAAACGTTGTTTAAAATTTAATGTCTTTTTTATTTTTTTTTATAAAAAGCAACTAAAAATTCTTATACAAAGCAAAATTTTGGGTACTTACAGGTTAGCAGTGTTCCAGTCAATTGATGCAATCTAATTTGCATGTATTGGGTTGATAATTGGTTCAGAGAGAATTTCCCAAATGGGTGAGTAACTTCAAATGAATCAGTCATTTGAAAATGGTTTGCTGGCTCACTATGCTCATGCCTCCCCTCACACGGGCGTGAGTATTTGCCCCGGTGGTCTGGGCTTCCAGACCCCAAGACAATTATATAACAGGTCACGTGGACAGCAAGTACTATGTATGGTAACTAAACTTCTAATTACAGGTCAGTTGATGTCCAAGGGTGTAAATCTACCAGGAATTGGCTACACTACATTACTGAAGATCTGAATCCACTCAATCTTAATGCTACACTAGTGAATTTCACTTTAACTACTGAGCCGGAAAATGGGCTAGTAATGCAGTAGGGGTATGTGGGGGTGTACTTACCCATTTGGGAAATCCTCTCTGAATCAATTATCAACTCAATACACGTGAGTTAGATTGCATCAATTAATTTGCACCCAGCTAACCGGAAAGTACCAAATTTTGCTTCAAAATTTACATTACATCCTTTTCAGTTAGTCTAGATATACCAAAATTGAGATATAATATCTTATCAGAAATGCTTTCTTTTACTTGTTTTTGTATTCTTTTTTGCTTGTTTTGTATAGATGTAGTCTGCAGCTCTGGTCAATGCTGTTTTTATTTATTACTGCATAGTACAGTAGATTTGCATTGTACTAAATGCAAGTCTACAAATAATTTTTGAAGGTTCACTTTTGACTATTCAAGTCCTCTTGGGTTTTTGCTTATATAGGGATGAACTTACTTTTCTAATTAGGTGCCAATTGTATGTAGCAGAAATAAAATTCTACCAAATTCAAAATTATATTTTTTCTGATTTAAATTTTATGAAGTATTTTTAAATATTTAATTTAAATGTCAGTTTAGAAATGTAAAAAATGCATATATTGATATGATAATTGCTATATTGTATGTCAAAATAATAAAAATATAACCATTTAATAAATACAGGTAACCCCCGTATAACACGGTAGTTACGTTCCAAAAAATTGCTGTGTTATGCGAATCCATGTTATACGAAACAAAGAACTAATACGAAAAGGAGGGTTAGGTTCCAAAAATTAAAAAACATGCTAGTATATTTTCATAATTAAGATAAATATCTTCATTAAAATTTTTTTAAGTGATACATATTAATATAAATTAAACAATGTTTTCTTCGTCATCACTAAAAACACTATTAATTAACCGAGAGCGTTTTCTTTTTGGCAAGTTATCCTTATCCTCTGAGCATTTTTCTGCATTATCTTCAGATCCATGCTTTACCTTTTGCAAAATGTATGTAATTTTAGATTGCTTGCTTCTAGTTAAAAGGTCTTTATAAATTTCCTTATATGGTGCTAAGCACTTATGAAGAATAAAGCAAGTATGGAATAAGGGAAAAACATTCGGCAACATCAGAAGCAGAAGCGTCGCGATCTGGCAACATTGAAACAAGTTTCGAGAAGGACCACGTGTATCGACAGAAGGCGAGAAGAGAAAATTTACATACTTAAGTACTAATAGTTCACGAAAATAATAATTTTCGTGAACTATTATTACTTAAGTATGTAAAAATTTATTACATTTCCTGTTGTACGAGGGTTTTACCCAATTCTCGAACCGTGTCAGAGTGAATCCGTGCTATAAAAGTACCGTGTTATACGGGGGATGGTACCAATTCTCGAACCGTGTTAGAGCGAATCCGTGCTATAGAAGTGCCGTGTTATACGGGGGTTACCTGTATATCAAAATTTTAGCATATAATTATTAATCTAATTGTTAACAGTAATCATCTTGGATATCTGCAGAAAATTTTCTAGGGGGTAAAGCTTGGAGACAATTACATCAATAAATTTTTATGTAATTATTTAAATTTTTTGGAGTATTTTTCACAAGCAGATTGTAGAACTCAGTATTATATCAATATGAAAATACAGACAAAACATCCCATGATTGAAGATGTAATGTTACATATCTCAATCATTTTTAACATTATAATATGTAGAATTTTTTTTTACTTAATCCTAGGGGCAAGTGTTCCATTTTCCCTTCTGTGGATGCTCATGGTGATCATAATTCTGATTTCTAGCCTGTTTTAATTATGTTTCAATTTATATTTTGCACTTTATAAACAGCATTTATCATGCCTACCAATTTATAGTCAAGAGTAAATATTTATAATTACAGACATACTTCATTTTAACATGTTTTGCTATGATGGTACTTTTCAATTACAATGGAGCATTGATTATCCAAAAATAATTGGGGGAGAATTTTGGCTAACAAATTTTTTCAGATTATTGATCATACTTTGTTGAATTATAGACTAGTACTGCAAATATACTTTATTAATTTTATTTAAAAAAAGATAAATTTATTGTATGGTAAATTATTTCCAAGTATAATCCTGTGGTTGAGTAATAGAATGTTTTCGACACTTGCTGTCTTACATTTCGTTGATTAAGAAATTTTAGTAAAAGGAAATTAGCTATAATTTCTTTGAGAACAATGTTGCAATATTATCTTTATCTGAAATAAGATTACAGATTTATTTTATAGTATGCAATAAAAGCATGCATCTCCACATACCGTATTTACTTGCATATAAGACGAGGTTTTTATTCATTTTTTTGCTGCTTCAAAAACATAGGTCATCCTATACGTGCGAGCAAAGGATTTTTTTGCACTTTTGAAATAATTTTTGTGAACCGTACATTTGCATTTTTTACTAGGTGTTCCTCCTCTGGTGTTTAAAAACAAAAGTATTTTATCTGGGTTGTTTGAATCGTTCTTGTGTATTGTCAGGAGTAAAGATGAATTGCAATAAGAAAAGCAAATTTGAATTGAATTCCAAATCACACGGGAGCGAGCCCGTTGTTTCAATCCATTCCCACGTGAAAACAGATGTTTTTTCAGAAATCAAAAATCGGAGAAACTCATAAGTGTAATTGATGGAGAGTGGATTTGACTGTTAAGAGTTGGCAAAAAAGCGTTCTCGATTGTCCAGCTTTACGTGAACAAATTATGTTGTCGATTTTACAAGATTTTTCCTTAAAGTTTGAAATGCCAGTAATTTTTGCGGGACAATGTGTTCATTTACGTTCATTTGATATTTTATTTGTGATTAAATGAAATAAAATTAGAATTGTATTAATAAATCTAATATTCTTTATTTTGATCTTTAAAGTCACACCTCATCCTATATGCAAGATCGTCTTATACGTTAGTAAATAATATATGGAGAATTTTTAGATATTTTTTGAAAGATTGATTCTGAGTTTCCCAATCATTTTCTATTCCTAAGCTTTATGTTTATTAATTAATGAATGTATCAGGCTCATAATGTAAACCATTAATTACTTTAAAGTAAAATGAACTTTAGAAAGCATTTAAAAGAATTGGAATCTGGAATCATATCAGAATCAGGAGTTTTTAGCAGAATTGGAATTGGAAAAAATTTTGGTACCATTTCATCATAATGTACAGAGCCATAGCTACCATGAAGCAGTTGGAACAAACTGCTCCAGGCACATGAATCAAGAGGGCACCAAGTTAGAAAGGTGAAATAAAAACTTGTAAAAACATTTGTAAAAAAAATTTTGGATTTAATTATTAAGCAATTAGCTATTAGATTTGAATCTGTTCAACAATTAGGTATACTTTTTAAGTTCTTATCTGCATATCTTAAAGTGTCATCTGATAAAAATATTCTGGAAGAATCAGAATTGTTACAATTAGCATATCCCTCTGACATTTTGCCTAGTTTTGAACCTCAACTGCTTCAATTTGAAATGCGTTTTTATACTCAGGTAAAAGAAATTACTTCTATAAGCTTAGTTGCCGAGCTACTTTTAATCCCCACCGCAGCCTCAAGTAACTTTTCCGACATTATTGCAGCATATGCTTCATTTTTTAACTTTACCGGTGACAACAATGACAGCAGAACAAAGTTTTTCAAAACTAAACATAATCAAAACTTATTTAAGAAGCAGCATGTCACAACACCGTCTTAGCTCTGCTTACTATATTAATTGAAAAAACAATAGCTTGTCAACTTGATCTGGAGAAAGTGATTGACCAATTTGCAAACAAAAAAGTGTGAAAACACAGGGTTCCTACGCACCTGGAAAGTCAGGGAAAATCAGGGAAAGTCAGGGATT